GTGTGTGTGTGTGTGTGTGTGTGTGTGTGTGTGTGTGTGTGTGTGTGAGCCTGATGCTGCGCACGCTAACTGTTGGGAGGCCAATTTATCTCAGCCTGTTTAGGGAGCCAGGATATCTCTTGCTCTTACTACTTTTCCTTCCTCATGCAGCCTCTCCCTCTCTCCATTCCTCTCCCTCTCTCCGCCTCTTTTCTCTCCATTTCCACAAACATACACGCAAAGCTTAGGGCCAATCCTCCGGGCCATTCCAAGCCAACGCTCATGACCCACAGCGAGATTTCTGTGTGTATCTGCATGCGTGAATATATAAATTGTGCATGTATCCGCTGTGCATCTCTGTGTGAGTTTTACAGTGTCACGGTACGTCAACATCCCAGCATTAACGTTGTGCCGTGAAGGATTCCTCTCTCTCACGTGGTGCAAACGGGGATTTGTTGAACCTCAGCTCCGTATATTTCTGACAGCACGCTCACACTGTAAACGATGTCCAGTGAAACCAGCCCTTAAAAACATGCGTCAGTGCGTGGCAGGCCCTCGGCTAAAACATCTCTGTCCTTCATCCTGTAGTTAGGTCTGTGTCTCTTGGCAGCGGGTTTTATCGCCGTGCTTTCAACATTAAATGGAGAAAAAGAAAAGACACGGGCAGAGCCTGCAGATCAGCTGCTGGCTACGATGTTGATTCCAGCAAAAACACACTTAGCTGAAAAGAAGAGTTGGAAATAGACCCAAAGTCGGCTGTGAGATTGAGGAAAAACATGCGACAGGGAGGATGTATTCTAAATGTCACCCTCTCAATGTGCTTCCTTCAAAGCTTCGCACTGTTAGATTTTTTTTAAACATTTGCAGCTTATAATTAACCGCTGCACCCGAGGGACGTGTACGCTTTGTGAACGTTTTGTGTTCACAATGCTGTTCATACTGTCAATTATTAGCCCCGGGATGTTCTTGGGTCTAGACTAATGGTGCAGCGCTCGCCACGCTTTATCGCTTGTCAGGGACACTTTAATTAATTTGCCCAAAAAATAAAGTAGAATTAGAAATGTCAGAGAGGTATTTTTTATTTTCTTGTTAGAAATGCACACAGACAAGACAAACGACGCTCTAAGAACGCCACCAAAAGACAAATAATGAGCATGAGGAGTGTTGCAGCTCTTATTTATGTTGCTCCAGCAGTTGTGCGTCAACAAAAATGATTTATCATTGTATATATATATATATATATATATATATATGTATATATATATATATATGTATATGGTGTGTATGTATAGTCTTGGGAGACACCTTTTAAAAGTGACAAACCATCGTGACCCAATAAACAATATACTGAATCTATAAATCGTGAGAAGAGCGAATTTGTGCTTGAATTAATGTACCTGACCATTTTTACTGCTATTTCTACATCACCTTATATTACATTCAATTGGTAAACCAGCCGTTCCAAAGAGACGTACGTTTGATAAAAAATAATTGTCGGTGTTAATTAATTAATGTGTTAACGCGATAATAACGCGTTAACTTGCCCAGCACCAATATATATATGTATCACAATATTGCAGGTTTATTTTCAAGATATGAAATGACCTATAT